AGGCGATCTCTTCCTGTGCCAGTCAGTTGGATCTGATTCTACAGTACACAACAACAACAACAAAAGATAAAAAAAAAAAGAAAAGAAAAAAAAAGAATAACTCATGAGGAACAAATAAAACCTCTTCCTCAAATGTTTTTCCACCTTCAGCTGAAGCAGTACAATTTTTTACTTTTAACTCTGAATCATTGCATTGTTCAATTTTTTATGTCTTCCCTAAACAATCCCTAATTCCAGGCTCTGCTTTTGTGTCAAATTTCAGACACCTTTTAGGTTCTTTTTATAGAAACCTTTATTTGTATCACATGACCCTACCAATACCATCATATTTCTGTAAACTAACCAATATCTGTTCTAGTCAAGTGAACTCTGATTCCTGTGGCCCCAAATGTATTAGAGGATAATTGTATTCCACTGAATTTTTGATAGCTTATTTTTTAAGGTAGTCAAATCTCTCTTCCATGGAACTTCTGGGTGAACTTGAATCTCTAGCCTTTCAGTTTGCAGCTGAGCATTTGAACTGTTTTCACCAACCAGAGACTCCATACTCTCTCTAGAGCCTGTCTGTTCAGTTTGATCCATGAACCAACAGCATCAACATTACCTGGGACTTTCTTAGAAATGTATACTCTGTCCTCCTGCATCACAATTAAACCGAAACACAATTAGTAGTTTAACAAGATTCTCCATCTAACTTATCCATTGTTTTTGTTAGATGCCATTGAGTCAAATTTTATTCATATTGACGCTGTGAACACAGATTGAAACATTACTCTATCCTGTACTATCCTCATGGTCTCTACCACCCTGAAGTCCATTGCTGTACTCACTGTATCAATCCATCTCATTAAGGGCCTTCCTCTCTTTCACGGACCCCTCTACGTTTGTCAGCATGTAGTCTTTTTCCAAGGGTTGGCTTTTCCTCACAACATACACAAAGTGTGTGGGATAAAGTTTTACTATCCTCACTTCTCAGGAGCACCCTATTTGTACTTCCTCCAAGACAGATTTGTTTGGGGGTTTTTTGGCAGCTCATGGGCTAGTCAATATTCTTTATCAACAGCAATTGGTCCTTCTTTGGTTTCCTTATTCATGGTCCAACATTTACAAGCAAACAAAACAATTAGAAATGCCATACCTTGGATCAGGCACACCTTAGTCTTTAAATGAGTTTAATTATTCTTTGGTATATTGGAGAGGTCATTAACAGTGGAATTTCCCAAAGTGGCATGCCTTTTTATTTCTTGACCATTCCTATGATGGGTGCTTATTGTGGATCCAAGTAAAATTAAATCCTTTGCAACTTTTGTCCATCAATCATGATGGTAGCTATTGATCCAGTGATAAAGATTTTTGTTTTCTTGATGTTGAGAGGTAACCCCTATAGAAAGTTGCATCTTTTAAATTCTTCAGTAAAATCTTCACTTTCTATAGGCAAAGTTGCATCATCTGATGATTCTTCTTCCAATACGGATATCACATTCTTTTTAATATAATCCAGTTTCTTAAATTATTTGCTCAGGTGGCCTATGTGCGCAATTTGGAAGACACACAGTTCAAGGCCATCAGCTACTCTGCCGGAGAAGGATGGGCAATCTCCTCCCATGTGATTAACTAACTGCTTCTGAAAACCTGCCAGAGGGTCAGCTATGGGTCAGCTCAAACTTTATGGTAGACAACAAGAACAACAACAGAGTGAATATATATGGAGAAAGTATACAAATCTGACAAAAATGTTTTCTTATTTTAAACCATACTGTATGCACTTGTTCTGTTCAAATGATATTCTTGATCTATGTATAGGTTTCTCAGAGACACGATTAAGTGTTCTGAGATTCACATTCTTCTCAATGTTAGCCATAATATATTACCATCACAAAGTCAAATTACTACAATAAAACACAAGTAAACTTGTTTCTGATATTCTCTATTTTCAGCCAAAATTTCTGACATCAGCAATGAAATATCTCATTCAATGATCTCTTCTAAACCCAGCTTAAATTTCTGGATGTTCCCTGTCAATTTATTATTCCAATAATTTCTTCATAATCTTCAGCAAGATTTTACTTATGTGCAATATTAATGATATTTATTGTTTGATAATTTCTGCATTCTGTTGGATTTGCTTTCTTTTTTTTTTCAAATCAGAGCAAATACGAATTTCTTACAGTCAGTTGGTAATGTAGCTTTCTTTTAAATTTCTTGACATAGACTGATGAGTATGTCTGTATCAAGCTTATGTAGGGTTATATGTTTTTGCTGAAATACCTCAATTGGTATTCCTCAAATTATGGGTCCCATTTTTTATCAAAGCCTTCACTGTAGCTTGAACATCTTCTTTCAGTACTATTGGCTCATTATCATATGCTTCCGTTCTTTTTACCTATTCCTTTGATATCCCTTGAATCTGTATATTCCTTCTATCTTCCTTTAATGCTTTCTGTATTTCCAATCATTTGGTATTTTGCCAATAGAATTTTTCAGTATTGCAACTTAAAGTTTGAGTTTGCTCTTCATTTTTTTCAGTTTGCAAAATTTCATCTATGTCATTCCTTTTGGGTTTTTCTAACTTTATGTATTTACATATTTAATTATAATGCTTTTCTTTGTCTTCTTGAACTGCATTTTAAAATAATCTCTTCAACTCTTTTCCTACTCCATCATTTCCTCTCTTTGTTTTGGCTTCTGTACACTGAAGAACAAATTTCAGAGTCTCTTCTGAGATACATTTTGGTCTTTTCTCTCTTTCCTATCTATTTTGCTTTATTCGTGAATAATGTCCTTGATAACATCCCACAATGCATCTGATTATTAGTTTTCAGTTATATTCAACACTACAAAATCTCTTCTTGACATGATTTCAAAGTTATGATGAGATAAGCTCAAGGTTGCATTTTGGCCTTTATTGGCTTTCTTTCATTCTTCATCTTCAATTTGAACATACATATGCATAATTGGTCATCGGTTCCACAGTTTGTCCTTGGCATTGTTCTGAGTGCTGGTGTTGAGCTTCTCCACTCTCTTTTATCCACCAATATAGTCAATTTGATTCCTATGTATTCCATAAGGTCAAGTCTATGTTAATACCTACCATTAATGATTTTTTTAAAAGATGCCGTTACTAAATAATTGATTTAACAAAAGATGCAAATCATAATATAGCAAACTGATATACAAGTGATATTATACCCCATTACAGTCTGAAGAAAATACTCCTGTTGTGTGATAAATACTCGCAAATGCTTTATTCTATTAAAAAGCCAATGTTTAATTTAAAGATGTGTTAATCTTCCACTACCCTCCTCACCATAAAGGAATGTGATGTAGGAGAATGATTATTTTTCTTCACTTTCTCACAAGATATAGACTCTGTTGTTTCAAGAAATAGTTCTATCTCAAGGGAGCTTTGGTGGTCTACTGGCAAGAAGCTGCACTGCAATCTCAAAGGTATGTGGTTCAAATCCACCAGATGCTCTGCTGGAGAAGGAGGGGCAATCTCCTCCTGTACCAGTCAGATCTGATTTGAAGGTACACACAAAAAAATTAATTTGAAAAAAATTAAAGAAATTTTTTTAAATAGTTCTTTCTCAGGAAATACCTATCCCAGTTTGATGAGGGTGTAGAACATATCAGTCTCACCTAAGCTGTATAGCATCATCATAGTTGTTGTTATGCGCCATCGAGTCCTTTCCGACTCATAGCGACCCTATGCACAACAGCCCTAAACCCTGCTCTATCCTGCGCCAACCGCACCGCCTCTGACACACCCATCCCGATTACCCCAGTCACCGAATCAATCCATCTCATAGAGGGTCTTCCCCTCCTGCGCTGTCCCTCCACCCTCCCAAGCATGATGTCCCTCTCCAAGGACCCGTCCCTCCTGGCAACATGTCCAAAGTATGTCAGACAAAGCCCCAGAATCCTTGCCTCCAAGGAGTAGCTTGGTTTAATCCTCTCCAAGATGAATCTGTTTGTTTTCCTGGCAGTCCATGGTACATTCAGTACCCTTCTCCAGCACCACAGCTCAAAAGCATCCACTCTCCTTCTGTCCTCCCTAGTCATTGTCCAACTCTCTGATGCATAACAAGCGATTGCAAATACCATGGCCTGTATCAGGCGCACCTTAGTCTCCAGAGAGACACTGTTGCTCCTGAATACCTTTGAGAGGTCCCTAACAGCAGACTTTCCCATCACGATATGCTTTTTGATTTCCTGACTGCTGGTACCAAGAGTGTTGACCGTGGAGCCGAGCAAACTGAAGCTGTGAACACTCTCAATCTCTTCGTCATCCATCCTGACGCTGCCAATTGGTCCAGTGGTGAGAATCTTTGTCTTCTTGACATTGAGCCTTAGTCCATACTGAAGGCTGCAGTCCTTGACCCTTCGCAGCAAGTGCATGAGGTCCTCCTCAGTTTCAGCAAGCAGGGTTGTGTCATCTGCATAAAGAAAAAGATCCTACAACCATACCCAGTTGCTTCCAAAGTTTATTAAACTAACTCTATCTGACTCAAGTAGTCATTTACTACGTTATGGGTACATTATACCAGTCAGGCTTCAGTACAAGGACTGAAGGGGTGTCAGCAGTATGAAAGGAAGGGAACAAAAATGTGTTGATGGAAAGATTAAATTTGGGTAGGAAAATAAGTTGACTTTAATCTGTTCCCAGAGGAGATTGTTTGAGGCTGAAGTGGCATGGAATCAAGGTCACGGTGAGTGTGACCCAGGCTCAAATCAGAATGTTCATTCCTATAACAACAAAAACTCAAAATGGCAATAATATCTAATCATATATCCCTCATGACAGGAGTTCAGAATGAAGGCTGCATAGTGGAGTGTGGACTTTGCGGGAGGGATTGTATAACAATGAAATAATTTTTCTCTTACTTTTCAAAGAGAAGTGCGGACTGGGCAGGGGTGGGCAGGGAGAAGGTGCAACAACGAATGAATGGAAATCCAAAGTCTGTAAACTTTCATTAAAATTAATAATAATAATAAAAAGAGGGGGGGGAAACCCCAAACACTCAAATTGGAATTTAGTATGCTCGTGGTTCACAAAAGCTACCCAAAAGTGACACAATCTTTGAGACATTTACATGTTATGGTCAGGAAGAGAAGTGTTAGCACCTTCTGAGAGTTGGTAAGGGAGCTTTGGTTATGATAAAGTCTGTAGGGGCTTGCACTGCAAACCCAAAGACAGTGCGTCTTTTGCAGTTTAAATTCACTAGCCACCTGATGGTGAAAGATTGACAATCTCTTCCCATGTGATTTTACAGGGTCTTAAAATCCCACTAGAGTGTCAGCTATGACTTGGTTCTGACTGGATGCCAGTGAATGAGCAAGTGATGATTTGTAAGTGTCAATATGACTTTTCTAGTAGCAGTAGTATCTTCATTATTTATTAGGTTTACTTAACAGATAATCTACTAAAGGTGTACTATGCACCAAAACTTGAAACACACACGGACACACACACACACACACACGGAAAATATTTGCGGAAGAATGAGACAAAGGAAGAGCAACAAAATGAGAAGTGTAAGCAGTAGAACACATAAAAGATGTATTCAGTTGTCCTAGGATGGGCAGTTGCAGTGGCAGTCTGAAAGACTCTTATAACCAGAGCAGTTATATACAGTATAGTTTAAACCAGTTAAAGTTTGAAAGATGAAGAGGGAGGGATGATAATAATTACCCTGAAATAATGGAAGTAAGTAGGCTTTTATGCAACCATATCTTCTCTCAGAAATTACTCATATAAAGAGATCTGAATGAAAATAGAGTTGTAATGTATATGGAATCCCGAGACCATGAGTTGCAATCATGGTCTTAAACAATTATTTACCTGTCCTGTGCCTCAATTATTTATTTTTAAAGAGTAGCAGTACCTATATTTAAGGATTGTTGTAAAGATTTTATGGGCAAAATTTATGTAAAATACTCATAGCAGGAACTGACTCATGGCAGGTAATATATATTATAATTATTCCTATTATCAAGGAACTTCTTTCTCCATGGGAGAAAGAAGAGTAGTCTCCTTCTATAAAGATTCCAGCCTCAGACTTTGTAGTGCCATGTTGTTGTTATGTGCTGTCAAGTCACTTGCGACTCATAGTGACCCTATGTACAATAGCCTTGAACCCTGCTCTATTCTGTGTTGACCTTATTGTGTCTCATTACCCCAGTCGCTGAGAAGTAGTGGCATAGAAAATTAAAAAGGGAAATTCCCTTTGGAGTTGGTCACATTCAGTCTTCCAGGCCTCCAAGTGCTGTAACTATTGAAAAGTGTTGTTAGTATAAAGCTGTACTGAACCAAATTTGGTACCCGGAGTGGTGTCCCGTCCAGACCAATTATAAGCATTATTTTCACTCCAGTTCTATTTTACCTTTTTCTGTGCATTTTTAAGCATAATTCTCAGCTTTCTTGACAAATCCTGAGTTTTAAAATATCTTTTCATTAAAGTACTTTTCCCCTGTAAGGCAGGCTGTATCTTTTTTTTTTGTTTGCATCTATAAGCTCTGAGTGATAGAATGCTGCTGTTTAATTGACAGCTCAGAGAACTATGGTAAGTTTAATTAATTCTGTGTTGTTGTGTATCAAATTGGAACCAACCCATAGCTGACCTCCTTTCATAGGCAGGAAACCTCATGGGAGGAGATTGCCCTTCTCTCTCCCTAAACAACTGATGAGTTCAAACTGCATACCTTTGCCTCAGTAACAAAATTCCTTACCACTATGTCAATAGAGCTATAATGGTACGTTAGTGTTTTATGCTTTCTCTTTTGTCTGCTTTGTGCTTATCAGACAATATCAACTGATAAACTATGTGGCTGATTCCTATTTTAGATATTTTTTGGTATATTACCAAAAAAATTGAGCTATGAAGGAAAAATCTTTTCCCAGGATTGTAGGGAACATTTAGAAGAGGATATTTTAGTTTTATACAAAGAAAAAAGCCCATATTCTGCTCATCAGTTTCCTGAAGGCTCCTTTGACATCCCCATTCCTCAGGCTATAGATGAAGGGATTCAGCATGGGTGTCACCACTGTGTACATGACAGTCACAATTCGAGCCTGGGCCACAGAGTAGCTGGAAAGAGGTCGGAAGTAGACCCATGTGAGAGTGCCATAAAATATGGCCACCACGGTGAGGTGGGATCCACAGGTAGAAAAAGCTTTCCACTTGCCATTGGCCGAGGGAATCCGGAGGACTGCTGTGATGATACAGACGTAGGAAGCAATGATGAAGATCAAAGCTCCATTGATAATAATCACACCCTCTGTTTGAATCATCAGGGTGTTGAGGTGGGTGCTAGAACAGGAGATCTTCATCAGAGGGTAGAGGTCACAGAAGAAGTGGGGGATCTTGTTATCATCACAGAAGGTCAGTCTGCCCATGAGAACAGTGTGCAGCAGTGCATGAAGGTGGGCGAGGACATGGCACACAGCCACCATCTGTGCACACAGCATTCTGGTCAAAATCACAGAGTAGCGGAAGGGGTGGCAGATGGCAATGTGCCTGTCATATGCCATCACAGCCAGGAGGAAGTTTTCCATGGCAGCAAAACAAATGAAGAAATATGTCTGGGTTAAGCAACCCATGTAGGAAATGGTCTTTGTAGTAGAGAAAATGTTCTGCAGCATTTTGGGTACTGTGGTAGAGGTGAAACAGATATCTGCCAAGGCCAGGTTACTGAGGAGGATGTACATGGGAGTGTGGAGGTGTGGAGAAGAGATAATCAATGTGATAATAGTAAAGTTCCCAGAAATATTGATTATATACATGAATAGGAAAAGAAGGAAGAGTGGAATCTGTTCCTCTGGGTGGGTAGAAATGCCCAAGAGAACAAAATGGGACACACTGGTTGAGTTGGTTTCATCCATCTGTTGCCATAAGAACAAAAACATTATTTTTTTATAATTCAGTACTTTTTATAATTGGTTTTTTATTATTAATTTTAATGAAAATTTACAGATATTTTGGATTTCCATTGTTCCTTTTTAT